CTCATGAGGAAGACCTCGACAAAGAGGATAAAGACATCCAGCAGTAACATCATGAGAAGAGCCATCTGTACGGGCTTCCAGTGCAACCAGCGCAGTACCACAACCTTCCAGTTCTTCTCGTTCGCGACGAAATCTTCTTCATCTTGATTTGTCGGAATGCCATACCCCATTGCGTGGTTGTTCTCCGCTTCCTGGATGGGATTCACCCATTCAGGACGTTCCAGCCCGGCCAGGAAACGACTCGAGTATCCTTGGGTTGGAAAGGTCCGTTTGAAGTCTCTGAGGTCTCGCGTGGACATGGTGATGGATGATGGGTATTACCTTTAGTATCCTGAAGAACGAAACAAAGTCAGTTGAAGCAGTGATGTCGCTGTTACTGCTGTTCCAAGAGGACCTGTGATAGTGTTCTTGCTCTCTAAATTAGGTGATGTAATCCCAGAAAACTGGAAAGAATACCTCTCTGTTGCTGTATGCTGCTCCAGCGCTCGCCAACCTACAACCTTGCCGCGTCGCGTGAGTTATTGCCGAGCTGAACTGAACTGATGGGTGAGGTGTACCGGGCAGAATGGAATTTTTGATGGGTTTGTGAGGCTTGGATCTTCGGGAAGCAAAGGTTCGGGGAAAGTTTTGGCATCGAACAGTGATGGATGCGATGGTGCGTCGGAGGAGCCCGCTTTAGGTCGGACTTAAAAGTCTTACAACGGGCGGATTTAAACAATCACTTTCTCTAAGACATTGGAGGATTTAGACATCAATGAACTTTTGATGCAAAAGAGGCATAAATTTGTACGTTCCAACGTTCCAACGTATGCTTCAAGTCTTGGCAGATTTATTGAAAAGACTTTGTTTAGAAGTGAGTCACACTTCTTTCTTTGGGTGGATCTGCCCCAAGCCCCAAACTCCAGACTTATCTGCATCAACGAATGTCCCCATTTCTTGACGAACCTTCATTGAGAAGCAGGCTTTAATAAAATTCAAGTGGGTGTGGAGCAAACCGCCTCTAATTAATTAAGGGTACGCAGTGGGCGGCTTGGTCGGTATTTACTGCCGGAATTCCGGATTCCGGGCTCCTTACGGTCATTTTACTGGTTTTCGTGGAAGGGCAGTTACGGAGTACCGTAAAACGTCACCGGAATTAAAGGCATGCACGATTCCGGCAGGAATTCCTGGGATTACGCCGGAATCCTCCGGAACGCTTCCATATCGCTGAGGCTTTTCGTGCAATTCTCATGCCAGATGCCGTGCCAGATGCTGGCAGCAGCCTGGCAAGAGAATTGCCTGACGTACCGTAGCATAATGGTGTGGTTGAGTATTGCTCAACCATTGGTGGCTCGCTCGAAGCACACATACAGCGGGGAACTCTTTCATTTTCATTGGATCGATCGATCCATCAAGATGAGATTACCGGTCCTTTTCGCATGCTCGCTCTACCGTTCGGATGCCACAATGACGATAGCCCTCTCCGTGGCTTGCTGACGCTCAGTTTGATATGCGATACGCCTGTGTTTGACCTTGGTTGGCTTGTTATTGGTTTCGTATTGGTTGGTATTGGATTTCTTTGGGTTTCGCTCCTACAAAAGCCAACCAACGTCGACCATGATGGACGTTCCGCGGAACTGGTCCAAGATTCAGCTTCAGTTTCGCACTATCTTCTCTCATAAAACTGAATGAGGAATCTCTTCATTCGTTTCGGTCCCAACGCTGGATTTTTGAGCCCATTGTCGCAATCGACAACCACCACACCAACACGTACCCATTCAACCATGTTCAACCAGCGAACTGCCTCAGGCCTTTCCCGTGGTTCTCCTTTCCATGCAGGAGAAGAGGATGACAATGGTGAAGAACCGCCCCCGCTTCGTCCTAGGGATGAGCATTCTTCTTCGGAAGAGGAAGATGACGAAGCCCCTCGCAAGCCAGCTGCTCGCAAGAAGGCTGCTGCTGCTGCTCGCAAGAAGACACCTCCAGTTTACTCGGACTCGGATGACGATGATGAGCCTCGCAAGATGCCAGCCCGCAAGAAGCCACCTCCTGCAGCTGCAGTCGCCTCCCGTGGCAGGTCTAGCACTCGCCCCAGTGAAAAGGTAGTGCACGAGTTGGAGATTTTCATGGAGGATCCTGAAACGAATCCAAATGCAACACCAGTTTCCCGTGGTCGCTCCCTACCCACTGCTCGCAACAGGAACAGTGGCGACAGTACACCTTCAAGCGGCGGCTCTGGCACCAGGGCGTCTAGTCAAGACCCCGCTGCTTCCCGTGGTGGCTACGACATCTG